ATAGAGTAAATATGCTCTGTGCCACAGAGGAGGATTTGTTCACAGTTCAGTTTTTACATTTGTTTTAAGGGAGTTATGCAGTTACTGAATGTCCTTTCACTCCCAAACAAATTGGTGTGGAGGCCTTTGATGATTAAATTTATGTCACTCAGACCAACACCAGCTTAACAAACCAAAATGTTTGAGTCGCCAAATCAAAATCATGAGATAAAAAGTAAAAGTGATCAGAAAAATTAAAGCTTTAAACATACAGCAACATTTTTAAATGAAAACTGAAACTGAAAGAAAAGTATACATTTAAGAACTAACCACTAAGAAACTTAGAATTTTGAGATATTTTGACATAAAAAGTCTAAATTATGCAACTAATTATGCTGCTATTCATACTGTCATTATCTTAATGCTGCTATCCTGTATATATCGTACTTACTATTGTTTGAGTACTTGTGATTGTTTTATTTTAGTTTTTATATTTTACATTTATATTTATTATTGAATCTTGCACCAAGGGAGTGGCACTCCAATTTCGTTGTACTCTGTACAATGACAATAAAGGCTATTCTATTCTAAAGAGTCAAATTATGACACAAAAATGTCAAAATTGGACAATTAAAACTTAAAACGTTTAACCTAATAAGTGAAAAGGTAAGCAAAACAGTCTAATTAATTAAAATATAAATAAAATAATACATTACAAAGAAAGGTCAAAATAAGAAATTAAGTAAAATTAGTTCTGTGATGAAAAAAATATAAAATGTAAATATATTTTTTAAAAAACGTGAAAAATATAAAGAAAATGTTGCTATAATGTATCATTATAAAATGTAAACATAAAAAAACTAACAATGATGTAAAATCAAAGCTTTTAGAAAAAAAAAGTCAACACTAACAAATGACAGATTGGTCAGAACTATTTTGGAAAAGTTTGATTTGTGACACGAGAAAACTTTAATTCATGAATTGAAAAAAATGAGACCTGAGCACAAATCAAAGAAAAGACTGTCGAATGACCTGCAGCAGAAAGTATGAACACTGAACAGGGTTTCACTGATTAATCAGCCCGCCCACTCTGTGTCCAGCTGTTAGAGTGCAGCTTACATTACAGCTTTTATTACGTAAAAGAACGTAAAAGTTGAGCCACACAGACAGAAACTGATAGATTATTCGAACATCTGCCTGCAGCTGTGAGGAGAACGAGCTGCTCTTCGGGTTCTTACCGAAATATCGAGACTGATGACAGCTTCTGTGCTGCCACACACACGCGCGAGCGCCCGGTTCACCTGTACCTGTGACAATCGATCCACGGATGTCTGGTCCTCGCGCTACCTGAACCCACCCTTATCGACCGCCTGCGTCACTCAACCCCAAAATCCCGTTGCCATGGTTTCCCGGTTCTTCCCAGTTCTTCCCAGTTCCCCTCGGATCGATGGTCCATCATCCCGGTACCGACCACGTTTTATCGTGCAGCAGCAGCATTGCACACGGAGCGAATGTGTGCGTGTCTGTGTGTGTGCGTGTGTGCGTGCAGTTGCTGACGTAGAGAACGCGTGATGTGGGCCATGATTGCCAAGGCTCTCTGGTTTCACACATTTGTGTTTTTATCGTTCAGATTAGACTGAATTGGACATAAAAGCATGAACACGGCGACGCGCGCGAGGCGATCTGTAGATAGTTTGATATTCATTAACACACATCCACTGCGCGGGCTTCAGTGTGTCTTTGGAAGTCACGAAAACTGTGTCCTTCTCACGGCGTTCAGACCACTTTTTTTTTTCAACTGAGAATCAGTTCACTTCTTCACCCCTGTAACCAAGGAGACACGTGTACTCCAAAACATCTCTCCATAGAGGAAGAAAAAAAACAACTTCAAGCATCATGGGAATGTTTCAGTCTTCCAGCTCAAAGCATCCTTAATAATTAAAGTCATTTGTGTAACGTAGAAGGAGTGCAGTGACACAGTGTTTATTTTATGAGTATATTTGGTTTCACCGACAAGTTTTATTCTCCCAGAGTGACACTGCTGGTGTTTCTGTTTGTCCGGGGGAACTTTTCATACCACAGAAATGACAGAATGGGCTTCGTGCCGCTTTTAATAAGACTGGAAATAAATGTCTGTGTTTTATACATAAGCAGCAGCCTGCCATCATCATCATCATCATCATCACTACCCAGATTTCACTGTAATAACTCCAGCCACCAGCCAGTTCCTCTACAGAGTGTCTGACCTTTAACCCACCACAAGCAGAAAGAATCAATTAAGAGATCTGTTTTCCCAGTGGAACTGATTAACTGATTAGGATGTCAAACACAGAACAGTCCTGCTGGATGAAGATGTTTGAATCACTGAAACTCCTCCGTGTGAAGTTTTGTTCTGTAATCTGTAATCATGTTGAAATTTCATCATGAGATGGCTCCCTGTACAGTCTATATGACCACAGAACGACAGCAAGACTACAAGTTTGTGGATATTAGGTGGTCTCTGTTTTGCAATCTGTGTAAAAGGCATTTTTTGTGACACATTCTTTTGTGCATGAGTGTATTATTTTTTTCTCCTTCTGTGATAATGTGGTGGCCACTGGAGGGCGCCAGAATCCTGCGGCCTTCAGGAAAAGCTTTTATCCTATTTAGTTTGCAGTGGAGGCCAAAGATCTCTGAAAGCAAACGTGTGTTTCCAAACACGTCTGGTTTTAGTATCAGGGTTACAATTTGGTTATGTTTAGGTTTAGGCTGAGGGTTAGGCTTAGGTATTCATTTTTGATGGTTAGGGTAAGCGACTAGGGAAAGCATTATGTCAATGAGATGTCCTCACGAAGATATGAAAATGAGTGTGTGTGTGTGTATGTGTGCGTGTGTGTGTGTGTGTGTGTGTGTGTGTGTGTTGTGTGTGTGTCTGGTGTGTGTGTGTATGTGTGTGTGTGTGTGTGTCTGTGTGTCTGTGTGTGTGGGAGAGAGAATAAGACTGGGTAAAACTGCTGTTCCCATAGCAACATGACCTTCACTGTTCAAAAAAGTGTTGGCAACAGAAACCTGTTGATGCACGGAAAACAGAGAAATCTGGAGAAACCCGAGAACGACTGAAGTGATGATGCATAGATAAGTCATGAGGAAGATGAAGGTGATAAGTTGGTATAATAATTACTGTTAGGTTTTGTATTGTTGATTGTCATTTATGCTTAGAAATATCTACTTATATATGCTTAGAGTTTTATAATTAATTTTAGATTGGTAGAGGTTTGATCCTTAATAGTCTGCAAACTTGACATGAACTGTTGGATTTTCCAGACCAGCAGGTTAAGGGAAGTCGTTTATGGGGTCACACTCTGCCCCCCCCCCCCCCCCCCCCCACACACACACACACACACAGGCAAGGTACTCTTTGTTTGTATGTAGACGTCATATGTTAATGACCCTATGCATATTCATGTAACCACAATAAAAGGAGTGCTATGGGGAACCTGGCTGAGAGTCTGACGGAGGTCAAGTGGTGGAACGACACTTGGCTCCAGGCAGGTCTCCCTCATGCATGAGTAACACGAAGAACTTTGCCTACTTGGTGTTCAATGCTTTTGCTGTGTTTTTAAATTGTCTCGTTCCAGCGGTGGGCCTGTGCTAGACAGACCCAACAATTACCATTTAATTGGTGTGAATTGTGGACTTAATCGTATTAAGTGGCTGCTAATACAGTGGTTCCCGAACTTTTTTTTGCTGGGCCCCCCTTTGTTTTACAGAAAAATGTTGCCCCCCCCCCCCCCCCCCGCGCGCACACACGCACTAACACATCCTCCAACCACACACACCCATATTTTGCTCCACACCACAAGTTTATTTCACACCTCAAATATTTAGTAAACAATTAAGCAAATACAAGTAACCAGCAATAAATGACAGGTAGTAATAAAATAAACTACTAACTCTTTTACGCTACGTCCACACCTACACGGGTATTTGTGAAAACGCAGCTGTTTCGTCCACACGTAAACGGCGTTTCAAATCACCGAAAACTGCGATTTTTTAAAACTCCTTTTTTGTGGTTTACGTGTGGACGAGGAATACAGAGTTCGTCTGGTATGTGCCTCTTTTCACGTCACGCTGTGCGCCACTTATTGTTTACATGAGATGAATTGCAGAATGGCAGAGAGAGACGAAATACTGTTACTGTTAATCTGACTATCCTCAGGTTTTACACGCAGTTACTGTCTCTCCATTTACAGAGGCAGAGGCATCACTGTGCGATTATTTTACATGTAGTTGGGGTTTTTTTCTGTGTAATAATATTCAACATTGCTATCAATACATTTTTCAAAAAAATGCCTCTCTGTGCAAAATGGGTTTAAAAATATAAACAGCTGTGGGATACTGTTTGTCCATGATTTGAACCGGGGTGACAAATCGTGGCAGGATCAGCCTGATGTTATTTGTATCCAGCTGTAACTTTACTGTATAAAGAGCTAACGTCTCCAAAATGTCAGGAGTTAGTCGTTACAACAAGTGTTTGTGAACTAAAAATCAATAATGTGGGATACTGTTTGTCCGTGATATAAAAAGCCCAGCACTGCTCCCAACGAAGGGAAAACCAATCCCGCAGGGGAGACCTACCTCGGCGCTTGTGCAGGTGAAACCAAAGAGAAGATATGCTTCAGCAGATTTTCTAGTCTTTGGCTTGGAAGATAGTTTGTTTGGAAACATATTCAGCAATGCTTCACCTCCTGCTTTGCATTTCTGTGGGAGCCCCGTGCTAGCAGTGTCCAAGAGTTTTGTTTTTTTTTCTTTTTCATACCGCGCCCCCCCATGCCATGGCTCTGCGTCCCCCCTAGGGGGCGGGCCCCACACTTTGGGAAGGTCTGTGCTAATAACACTTAAAAATGCTGATACAGCAGAACAACGGAGAAACAACTGCCTGTTAAACATAAGAGGACCGGGCTGAAACTCAACCTCCTTTTTAAATGAGTAATGATTAAATATAATTAAAGAAGTTGAGGTTGAGATCAGGGGTGTCTGCCCTGGTGAGTGGGTGGAAATCAAAGAAAAACACAGAGTGCCCCCTCATATCACCTCTGAGTGAAGAGAGCCTGAACCCCCCCCGTACAGACCCATATAAATTAGACCTGTGTTATGAAGCAGCAGAAGAATTAGTCGGACACGCTCACTCTTTGTTTGTTTGTTTATTGACAGCGACAGCAGCCTCCATGCAGAACGAGGGAACAGTAAACCTGCACAACCATGTGTGCTACTTGGAGCTCAGCTCTCACTGAGCTGGTATGTGTTCAGTTTTTTTTTCCACCGTCACAGTACAAACAACACGATGCACCGGTGCAGCTCAGACCTGCACCCGCAGTAATATAAAGTTCAGTCAGCGTCCAAAGACGCGACCGTTGGTTTCATAATCAGTCTCATAGAAAAGAAAGAGTGACATCGCAGCACATTCATCTTTAGAAATATATACAATCTGATTGTAAACACGAAGAGGTAGACGAGCCATCTAGAAAAATAGAGCTATCTTACAAACATAGAACTCCTCGAATATAAAGATGTTCACATAAAAATAGCAGTCAAAACAAAGCACGACATTCTGACGTCTACATTTCTTCACGTCCTCATGCAGAAAAGTCACAGGTTGGTATTTTACAGGAGAAACCTCCCAGCGGGCAGCGGACTGCTCCTTTAACAGTCCACCACAGTAAGCAGGCAGGCGGGCGCAGACAGGAAACACGTCAGTGGCACCTGCGGTACAGCCCTCTCCTGTGCGGCCCTGCTCACAGTCCAGCTGCAGGACCGCGCTTGCGCATGCGCCCTGAGAGGAACCAAAACGTGCACTTGGTAGTCCCCCGAACACCTGTAAACGCCTGGCACGTCCTCCTCCTCTTTCGGGTCCAGCCAAAATCGTCCACGATGTGACGTTATGTGGAAAGGTGTCTCGGACGCTTTCCGGTCGACGGTTCAAATCCTGAAGCTCTGAGCGAGCTCGTCTGCTGTTGTTCTTTGCTTTTAGACGCCAGGCGCGTTCAGGGCCAGGGAGTAGGCGGCCATCATCTGTGCGCGCAGCTGCTGCTTGACATGCACGCGCCCGTGCCTTTTTCTCTCGTCGCTGCGCGCGAACCTCTTTCCGCACACGTCGCAGGAGAAGGGCTTCTCTCCGGTGTGCGTGCGAGTGTGCGTGGTCAGGTGGTCGCTGCGGCTGAAGCTGCGCGCGCAGATGGTGCACTGGAACGGCTTCTGTCCCGTGTGGATGCGCACGTGCCTGTTGAGCTCGTCGGAGCGCGAGAAGCGGCGCTCGCAGCCCTGCACGGAGCACGGGAACGGCTTCGCCTTCGGCCCCCCCTTCGCGGGGGCTCGCCTGCCTCCGCGCGACAGCTTGGGGGCTGCTGCCGCGTGCACGCCGCCGATGTTGACTATCGGGAACACGCCCTGCAGGAGGGAGGAGAGCAGCTGGGAGTCGAGGGTTGAGGGGAGGGAGGAGGGGGCGCAGTGGAGGTCGCTCCCGCTCTGCACGAGCTCCGTCTTTATCGGCGGTCTGTTGATGACGTAGCTGCCGGAATCTCCCCCGGTAACGGGAGCGGCGGACAGGCTCTTCAGCCAGTCCTCCAGCCCCAGCGGCTCCTGCTTCACCTCGCATAAGGGCTTTAGGTCTCCCTGTGCGGCGTCAGCGCTCAGCAGCGAGTCGATTAGATCCGCCACATCTACCTGTTGCTCCAGAGCTGACAGCGGCAGAAGCGAGTCCGCGCTGGAAGGGTACAGCGCGTCGTTTCCGGCTGTGGAGAGCGGCTCACACCCGCTGCTGCAACTGGAAGCCACAAACTCGCTCTTGACCACAGCTGGCAGGGAAGCGGAGGTGGAGGGCAGCTGCTGGGCGGCAGGCAGGGGTGGAGGGAGGTCCAGGACAGGTGCTGGGGCGAAGCTGGAGGCTGCAGAGGTGGTGGAGGTGATGGTGTTGGTGGCGGGCTGCTGCTGCTGCTGCTGCTCCATCTCTGTGCAGATTCCCACGATCTCTGTGATCATGTTGAGGATCGCGTCCGCGGTGCTGCTCAGTCCCGCCGGTGCCGCCTCCGGCTCCGCGAAAAAGCTGCCGGTGTAGCCGAGGGAGGGCGAGAGCGTGTCCGAGGAGCAGTCGCTGAAGTCGGAGAAGAAATCTGAGTCAGAGGCGTCGGTGCCCGGAGAGAAAACTGGAGAGAGAGAGAGAGAGAGAGAGGGAGGGAGAGAGGGGGCGTTACTGTCATTGCATAATCAGCGGGCAGCCTCCTCGTCACACATCAGTCACAGGTGCAAACATCTGGCACAGCTGCTCTATCACACTCACCTTGGCAGAAAGGTGATCCCACGTCCGAGTCTGCGGGGTCGCTGAGGCTCGAGCCCACACTGTCCACCCAGGCGCTGCACGCGTCCTCAAACTCCGACATGAAGCTGTCCTCGCGTTCCAGAAGCATTTTTACACGAATCACAAACAAAAATCCAGTAAAAACGTAAAGCTGCTGGGCTCGTGCTGCCGGGATTCCCTTTAAAAACGATAATCCGGCGGTTAATCCGGAGCGGGTCGGTTAGTCCACGCTCTGAGGCTGAGGATGCTGAAGATGCTGAGGATGCTGGGCTCCCTGCGCTTTTATACTCTCCGTCTCCTAGGTAACTCCCGTCCGGGCCTTATTGGTCGACACCGGCGCGAGGGATTCCCCCCGCCGCGACGCTTCGTAGCTGCCCAAATATGGGCAGCATCCGGCCGTGACGGCGGGTATCCCCCATGCCTTAAAAGGACAGGCGGCAGAGCGACGTAGAGCTAGAGGAGAGAGGGGTTTCCTCCACTGCGGCAAGACAGGAGTTACACAAGCAGAGGAGGAGATGGAGGAGGAGAGGAGCGGGCTGTTTTTGAACCTGGAGTTCCAAGTTAGGAGCATTTGGCCTCGCGGGGAGACTGAGGCTGTGACCGGTGTCAGTGAAGTTTGTTTTGAGGACAAAGAGGCTGCTGCTCTGCTCAGACCTGCAGGTAAACACAGTCCGCAGTGCTGCAGAAGGGTCGAGAGACACCCAGAGGAAACACGGAGAGCGATAAAGAGAGAGGGTGGCATGATTACATGTTAGTGACATTCCTGCACAGCCTCGTTCTGGCTCAGCTGCGGTGATGTTGTCTCCATGGAGATGAGGGAGATTCAGGGCATGTGTTATGTAAAAGGAGCAGAGTTTACTTAGATTATTTTTTTTTATTTATTTGATGTTGTTTGTACATTTTTCTACATAAAGCCACACAGACTGCAGCTTAATGACAACTACAGTAAAGCAGTAAAATACTGAAGGTGGCTGGTGATATCAGTGCACAGGGAGGCATCCATCCATCCATCCATCCATCCATCCATCCATCCATCCATCCATCCATCCATCCATCCTCGATTCAGCTGTCACAGACAGGAGGACAAATAGAATCATTTACCCATATGCCCTGCTGATTAAGATTCTGTTTGAGCGCTGGTTGGTGGTGTGCACATTTCTGTGTGTGCACATTTATAAAATAAAAGCACAGCAGGACCAGTGGCCTCTACGGCTCCACACAGAAGTTATGTGGGTGTGACATGTCCACATGTGAGTGTCTGCCTCGGTTCAAAATTAAATTTAGTCATTAAAGGATGAACCAGAGGCTCCGAGTGGACATCAGCGACCTCTGCTATAAGAGTTTGAAGCCCAATTTAAAAAGCAGAGCTAGTGTCTGTCTGCTGAACCCAGTCTGGGAGCTGGGGCCTGAAAGCTGAAGGCCTGTCATTCTACTTTTTATTAGTCTAGGAACAACAAGTAAGCCTGCAGTCTTAGAGTGAAGTGCTCTAATGGGACAATATATTTCCATGAAGATATGACAGGGTCTGATTATTAAAGAGCTTGTATGTGAGGAGCAGGATTTTAAATTCTGGATTTAACAGGAAGCCAATGAAGGAAAGCCAATGTGGGAGAGATTTTAGAAGAACGCAATCAATAATTTTTGATGTGTGACAGTCAAAACATTATGACTCTTGTCCCTGATTACAAAGACCAAACTACATCCTCTGATAGGTTAGTGTTAGGGTGATCAGCAATGGCGACTGAATTACAAGGAGCCTCGATACACCAAATTTGGGCTAAGTGTGCTGTCAGGGTGAGGTAAAGAGAAGTAAATATTCGAATAATTTTAATAAAGGAGCCCATCTCACATTTTACAGAGACTACCTACAGTGGGGCAAAAAAGTATTTAGTCAGCCACCGATTGTGCAAGTTCCCCCACTTAAAATGATGACAGAGGTCAGTAATTTGCACCAGAGGTACACTTCAACTGTGAGAGACAGAATGTGAAAAAAAAATCCATGAATCCACATGGTAGGATTTGTAAAGAATTTATTCGTAAATTAGGGTGGAAAATAAGTATTTGGTCACCTCAAACAAGGAAAATCTCTGGCTCTCACAGACCTGTAACGTCTTCTGTAAGAAGCTTTTCTGTCCCCCACTCGTTACCTGTATGAATGGCACCTGTTTGAACTCATCATCTGTATAAAAGACACCTGTCCACAGCCTCAAACAGTCAGACTCCAAACTCCGCCATGGCCAAGACCAAAGAGCTTTCGAAGGACACCAGGAAAAGTATTGTAGACCTGCACCAGACTGGGAAGAGTGAATCTACAATAGGCAAGCAGCTTGGTGTGAAAAAATCAACTGTGGGAGCAATCATCAGAAAATGGAAGACATACAAGACCACTGATAATCTCCCTCGATCATGGGGTTCCACGCAAGATCTCATCCCGTGGGGTCAAAATGATCATGAGAACGGTGAGCAAAGATCCCAGAACCACACGGGGGGACCTGGTGAATGACCTGCAGAGAGCTGGGACCAAAGTAACAAAGGTCACCATCAGTAACACACTACAACGGCAGGGAATCAAATCCCGCAGTGCCAGACGTGTTCCGCTGCTGAAGCCAGTGCATGTCCAGGCCCGTCTGAAGTTTGCCAGAGAGCACATGGATGATACAGCAGAGGATTGGGAGAATGTCATGTGGTCAGATGAAACCAAAGTAGAACTTTTTGGTATAAACTCAACTCGTCGTGTTTGGAGGAAGAAGAATACTGAGTTGCATCCCAAGAACACCATACCTACTGTGAAGCATGGGGGTGGAAACATCATGCTATGGGGCTGTTTTTCTGCCAAGGGGACAGGACGACTGATCCGTGTTAAGGACAGAATGAATGGGGCCATGTATCGTGAGATTTTGAGCCAAAACCTCCTTCCATCAGTGAGAACTTTGAAGATGAAACGAGGCTGGGTCTTCCAACATGACAATGATCCAAAACACACCGCCCGGGCAACAAAGGAGTGGCTCCGTAAGAAGCATTTGAAAGTCCTGGAGTGGCCTAGCCAGTCTCCAGACCTCAACCCCATAGAAAATCTGTGGCGGGAGTTGAAAGTCCGTGTTGCTCGGCGACAGCCCCAAAACATCACTGCTCTCGAGAAGATCTGCATGGAGGAATGGGCCAAAATACCAGCTACTGTGTGTGCAAACCTGGTAAAGACCTATAGTAAACGTTTGACCTCTGTTATTGCCAACAAAGGTTATGTTACAAAGTATTGAGTTGTATTTTTGTTATTGACCAAATACTTATTTTCCACCCTGATTTACGAATAAATTCTTTACAAATCCTACCATGTGATTCATGGATTTTTTTTTCACATTCTGTCTCTCACAGTTGAAGTGTACCTCTGGTGCAAATTACTGACCTCTGTCATCATTTTAGGTGGGGGAACTTGCACAATCGGTGGCTGACTAAATACTTTTTTGCCCCACTGTACATATACACATAAGTTTTACATCTTATCATCTTATACTAATATCACTTAAAAAAGTGAAACACATATAATATAATTAACTAATAGCATTAGTTAATATTTATTATTATTATTAGCACACTATAGTGCTGCATTATGATTATTTTAACCTGAAAGAAGAAAAATAACATTAAGTTAAAAACACAAGGTGGAAAAAGATTTTAATAAAAAGTTATTAGTTTCAAACTATGAAACAAATGACATACAGTCATGTTGAATATAAAGTTTTCACAGGACTCTTAACAGTCATGGCAAAACAAAATAGCTCCCAGGGGTGATTATCAGATGCATTTGATTAAATGATCATCAGGAAGTCCGAGCACATCTATAAAAGCAGAAGTTTTACACATTTGCAGGTCTGGAGCATTCAGCTGTGTTCCCACATCCAAGAAATTCACTGTGAGTTCAGACCCTCTGATGATCAGGGAAACTGCAAAATATCCAACTCTACAGGCCTCAGTCAGCATGTTAAACAGTGAAGTTCATGACGGTACAAATAAAAAAACTAGTTGTTTGGAAGCAGAAAGCCTCTTCACTCTAAAAAGAACAGAAGGTGCTCCTGAGCAAACCGCAAAACTTCTGGAACGACGTCCTTTAGACAGATGGGACCAAAATGATGTTGTGTGGAGCAAATCAGCATGAACACCTCAGACCAACAGTCAGCGAGGTGGTGGGGAGGTGATGATTTGCGCACCTTGCAGTCACTTGGTCCGTCATGAATTCCTCTGTGTACCAAAATATGCTCGAGTCTAACGCAAGGCCATCTGTGTGACAACTAAAGCTTGGCTGAAACTGAGACATGGAACAGGATGATGATCACATGCACAGCAGCAAATCTACAACAGATTCCCTGAATATTAAAAGAGTCAGTGCAGCAGCGGTCAGGTCAAAGTCCAGACCTTCAGAGAGCTGTGCACGAACCTCAGTGACCTGAAGCAGAGAAGACAAAGTCATAGAGAAAATAATCACTTTAGCTTATTGCTGCTAAAGGTGGTTCAACTAAGCTAAGATCAAACCCAGCCCTCAATTAAAAAAACTGATTAAAAACAGAAAACTGTGCAACAAACAACAAACAGCTGCTCTGATTTCTGCTGAAAACATCTCTGACATATTTCAGAAAAGTGCCCAAACTTTTCAGATACTTTTTCTTTGACCTTCAGCATCGCTCTAAGTGTAAGCATACAACAAAGTTAGGAGCACTGCTCAATTTAGTGTATACAGAAAAACATAAATGAAATATGTTATATGCTATCATAAATAAAAAAATAAATGAATGAATAGGTAATATTAGTATAACAACACCCTGAATGTGTAACTCTTTCTGATGGGAGGGTTTAGCTCAAGTCTCTGAGTATGCTGTTAGACCAAACAGCCAAGCTTCATTTTTTAGTTTAACTTTTACTTCCACACATTCAGAGCATTCCCCGGGAGCATCTGGTGGCTGTCAGAGGAACTGCGGCTTCGGGCATTTTTAGCATCCTCTGTTCTGTATATTCATATTTAATCAGCTCGGGTTCTGGTGCTGCTTACGTTTGTGAGTGTTTGGATCCCGGGTGACTAAAATAAGCCCGATCACATCGGCGTGAGAGCGTTCAGGCGACAGGGCTGCAAAAAACAGTCAGCTGACGATGCAGAGAGAAGAGAGAAGGAAGCTATATCAAGAAAGATGATGGAAGAGGGAGTGTGTGTGGGCGAAGTAAGAGAGGCTGTTGCCATGGCACTCTGCCACCTCCTGTTCCCTCCAC